ATCCAGGGTGTTGAGCTCGACTAACCAGTATGTCTATATTAATGGATATGCTCCAACTAATTTCCACCCATTTAGGCATTGAGTGAAGAGTATACCTGGTACAGATGTGGTCTCCCACAGGGGTGTTCCTCTCTCAAGAGAGAGGTCACACTCCTCAGACATTCTTCAAATGCTTTCTGAGGGGTGCTCATCTGGGTAGCTTTTGCATAGATCCTTTCACATTTTCACTGTGGGATTTAGCTATTATGTGAGTGAAGGTAAGATACCATATTGGAAGTTAATATTTTCCTACTTGATGGAGGAGGTATGCCAGAGATACTCTGACCAACTAGTAGATCATATCCATGATAGGATGAGAGCTTCCAACAAACACATATGAGGACTTATGTTGGCTGGTTCAGCTCTAATCTAAAACCTATCATCTGGAATCCCACATACAGGTGATGGTAAGATAAGGGGTCCCAATTGGATGGCTGAAGTGCATTATGGTGGATCTACCCCAGTTTCTGATTCCATGGGAGGACCTACACCAATATAACACAACCACCCTACTCTCTACTAAATAGAATTGAGCATATTTAGGAGGAAGCCTCCATGGTCCACCACCCCCAGTAGTTAGGAACTTGTAAGGACTCCCACACTCTACTTGAAGAAGGGAGGACATACTGAGGAAGTCTAGAAGAATGCTGACACTGATGACTGTGCAATAAGTGACCACGGGAATCCTATTTTAAAAAGCTGACTGCCCCTGGTTTATTCAATCTAAGGAACAGTAGAGATGGGCAGCTATCTCCTTCTGCTTTACTTATGATAGTCCATGAGTCAGTATAGTCTGGTATGGGTATAATTATGAAGCAATAAACCAAGAGGAGAACCTACTGGCAGTCAAGTGGAACATCCCATTTCAGCAGTGTGTGCTATAGGCCTCAAGTGAGGTGTCTATATGTACATAGATTGGCAGGTCCAGCCCCTGGTTTTCTCTGGTGGGGATCCCTGCCAACTGCTCACCTGTTCCAGCTCCTTTCTACACCAGCCTTTAGGTCTTGACCCATCAGAAGTGGTGCACCAGAGGTACCCCAGATGGTATATATATATGCTTTTTGTGAAAGGCCATACAGTGTGGATAGCCAAAAGTATACTTGGACAGGCACCACTCACTACTGAGCAGGATCCATTACCTATAAGGGACATGACCCTGTTGGATAAGGAGAAAAGTAAACTGACCAATTCACAGCTGAACTGTCACATTACATGGCAACAGGGAATGTGATATCAGATGAGGACGAAACAGCCACATGATGTAGGTAGAGAGAGATGAATGTGTTAGGTGTAGTCCACATGCCAGACTGGATTATATTCTCCAAAGAATGACACAGATGAACTGCCAGGGGAAAAGTACAATGTTGAATACAGTGAGATGACACTAGGAAAAGATGTTGGGACTTGGTAGATAGGAATGTAAATGACAGCCAAATAAGTCAACGAATTTAACCCATTAGGGTAGAATGTGAAGATCACATTGAGAGGATGGGTTCCAGGTGACGAAAAATCTGGAACAAGAACTATGGGAGAAAGCCATGCAGGTGGTGTAACAGTGTAGAGCACAAACAGGACATAGACATCTATATGGATCTGAATGGGATTATAAATGGGAAATGGAAGGAAGGAAAGTTGACAGAAAAGAAGAGTTGCCCTCATGAGCTGCCAATTAAAAATGGGAGAACCAAACCAGAAAATACAGATTGGTCCCACACTTGCTTCAAAGACTCCAAGTGTTTGGTAAGTCTAGAAAAGGAAAATCTGCTTGGTGATAAGCCAAAGCAAAAGAAAAGATCCAAAGATATAGGGTTGAGGCATGCTGGATACCTCATGTAATTGGACCTGAAACAGGTCAGCATGGACTCTGATATCCAGATAGGGGGAAAAACAAGGTTGAGACCTCCTCAGCCGAAAGTATAGAACCTGAAGCCTGGGAAAAACAGATGTAGTAGTAGTCAGGATAGTGGTAAGCATGACATGAAATTCAGAATTCAAGGTTCAACCGAGGTAATTCATAAAAAGTTTACTTTCACTCAAAACTGTAAGTTAATATACTACTTTGAGAAAAAACACAACAAAATCAAGCACAAAGAAGAGTGTTGCACTTCTATTGGTGGAGGGTTGTCACATACTTATTTACATCCAAAAACAAAGCAGAACCACATTAAACGTGGGAGTTTTAAGGCAAGTGGTGAGCAAAAATATGTGCACATACAGAGGGCAGCACTGAACAAGAGAAGCTATTATGTTAGAGGAGGTAAGATACCATATCAGAATTTTGTTTTTAGTAACAGAATTGGATCGAAAATTTTCTCCAACCCATATATCAAAATCACAACAGATAAGTACATCCTATACGTCAGCACACGAAAGAGGTAAAATGGTGACAGGAGTGGGACAAAAGGACAGCTATTTGATCAGGGAGGTGGACAGAACAATTTCACATGCAATGATACAGGGAAGTCATGTCCTGAGGAAAGAGCAATGTGTGAGGATGGATCAGAGGGATGGAAAATTGAGATGGGGAAGACAGGGCTGAGACTTGGAGATGGACTAATAGAAACAAGGCTGGGATAATCTATGAGATTAAGAGGTGTCCCAAAACTAAGCAAGGACCTGAGGGAGGAGATGGAGAGGAAGACATGCATAGTAAAAAGATGGGAGAGACTGGACTGAAGACAAAGACGACACAAGAGACCAGAATAGAGAAAATTAGTAAAGAGAGATGTGGCAATACAACAAAAAAGGTGAGAAACAATGAGAAAGTAGAATAATAGATAACCAGTGGGTGAGGAACCAATCCATAGGGAGGAATTGGTCATGTCAAGAAGACAGCCAGCAAAGATATGCAGTGCCCCCAGAACATGAAAGGTTATGAACACATTTGAATGGTACAGGCCCAGAACTAGGAGTACATGTAATAGGGTGACATTGTATGAAATGAGCAATTACATCTAAACTCTATCTGATAATGGTACATTAAGTAGAAATGAACTGGACTTAATCATTATAGTTTATGTGGACATGTGAAGGAGTAAAGAACTTTAAGATTAACATGGATGTGTGTATGGCAATGAATAGTGAACCAATATGAAGCATTATCTTCTATGTATACAAGAGAAGAAGTAATGAACAAGAACTAAGTATTATCTTCTAGGTATACATGTTAATGAATAAGGAACTAGAATCAAACATTAATAGTTACGTATACATGGCAAGGTATAATCAGTTAAGACTAAGTATTATCTACCAAGGGTACATGTAAAGAAGTAATGAATGAGATGTAAATATTACCTACTATTTGGGCATATTAAAGAGTAATAAACCAGAATGAAATATCAACAACTATGTGTTACATGTGAAAGATGAACTATGAGTAAATATTATATACTAAGTGGTATACATTAAGGAGCAAGTAAGTATGAATAAAAATTATAGTCTAAGTACAAGTTAAGAGTAAGGAACTAGGTCTAAACAATATATCATATGTAGACATGTTAAGGAGTAACAAATAATGTCCAAACATTAAGTCCTATGAGTTATTTGTTAATGAAGATTAAACTATATCTAAATAAGAACTTCTACATGTTGCTTGGTAAGGCAGGAATGGCAAAGCATAAAACAGTGGGTACGAATTGAAACCCAAAGTAAATGCAGAGTGCAGCACTAACAGGGGAATAGAAAGGAAATAACAAGTAGAAGGCATGTGAGAAGAGTTGAGAGATGTTGAGTTGGTAGAGAAGAATACGGTGGAAAGTGGCTCAATTCCATCCTCCTTAACTTCAGCTTCAAAATCTGTGAAGGAAAATGTGGCAGGGATGGAAGAAGAGGATTCAGGCAGCAACATGGGACTCACCACATATTGGACAATGTTACTCTTCTTCATACTGTATTTTCCAACATGAGAGGCACCTTTTGCTATACATGATGGCTGTCACTAACTCAAAATAACTTCCTATATTGTTGGTAACTAAGTGATATTTGTACTCACATCAGAAGAAAAAGAATTTATGTTAGCCTGTGAATTCATATTGAAAGGTAGAAAATACAAAGTCTCAGCAAAAGTAAACATGTATTAGTATGATTGTGCTGATGAAAAGTATGAGGGTTTTCCTGTGTGAATGTAGAGAAAGCATTTATGGAAGGAGATGTGTCATACTCCTATTGGTGGAGGGTGTTTTTGCATGATACATCATCATGCAGTAATGCAAATTCACGTGAATTTTAGGTGGGAGTTTCACAAGGCTGGTGGCATGTGAATCTCTGTATTAGAATAGCATGGATTCTAGAGGAAATAGCTAATCTGTGTATGAAGGTGAGTTATCATGTCCAAAAAGTTGCCAATGCTATGAACACTTAACTTTGCTTACAACAAACACAGTCATTTCCTATGGACCAAAATTTACTTTTAACAAGTTCAAAATGACAGTTGCAAGCTTAAAATAGAAAATTAAGATTAAGCAAATGAAATGTGAAAATTTTTATACAAATAAAAGTATTTCTAATCTTAATTTGAAAATAACTTTACACTTGGAGCACTCAACACTCTGACTCCATATATTCATGGACAAATTTTTAGTAAAAATACTTAATTAAAAATTCTGATTTTTTGTCTACAAAAGACATGCAATGTTTACTAAAAGCTTGAAAATTTTCATAAAGGTACACAAAATATGTTAAAAGTTATAATATTGAAACTCTGATGGTCACTCTAGGGTTATGAGGTCAGTGTAATTCACAGAGTAAGTAGTGAAAGAGTGAGAAGAAGCTATTTGAAGTCAGTTAGTGTCTTGAATTTAACATTTAATAAATTTCATCCCCTTTTTCTTCAGGGAAAAGCTTTGGATAAACAAAAGTAGATATCCTATAAAAGTCAAAACACTTTTTAAATGTATAACCAATGAAAAATTGTAACCTCAATTTACACAAAAAAATGTCATCCTAATGCCCAAAAATCATACCTTGAATCTTGATAATTCCTGTTACCCTGATAATACCCAACTATTTCAAGTCCTTTAGACTTGCAGTAATGGTCCACCTGTTAAACACAAATAACAAAACACATAAATTAATAGCTATAAATTGATTAGTTTTATTTTTGTACCAAGTATGAAAAACAGTTGAAGGAAATGTATATATATATCTTTACATATGAAAAAAAAAAAATGCTAGGTAAAATCTCGCTAAACGTTTTAGTTTTCTATAACAGTTCATTTTTTTAAAGAAAATATTGGCATGTTTAAGAAGCCTGGAAGTTCAAGTTTTGAACCATTACTGCTTACACTGAAATTTCTTGGATCTAATATATTACACAAATTTTGTTTACTTTTAATTTTTCTTTCAGATACCTTAATCTGCAGACTGGTAATGATAAGTTGCTACTAGGTGGTATATTAAAAAGTGACAATGGCACAGCTAAAAACAATAATTTTTTTAACCCTACTTAGAAAAGCACAGACACATCTTGATTTTGGTAGATTTGAACAAATAGTTACCCGTATGAACAAAAGTTTACCCTCTGATATGGTTAATGAATTATCGGAATCCTTATAATGAGACAAAATGATGACTATAAAAACACCTTAAGTGTTGTTTTGCAATATAATATACAATTTAAGGACACTCAGGGGCCTATTTGTCCATTTATGCTGTCCCTTCCACTAAATTAAACTTTGAAATAAAAATAAAATAGCCAGCCCTTATTATTTAAATATTTAACAAGCCTTTCCTTATTCTCCCTTAAATTTACTACATCCACCACATGTGAGGGCAACCCATGCCAATGACTAACCACCACGTTAGAGAAATAAAACTGACTCCTACCCTGCCAAAATTTATATTTGTGTTCCCTAGTCCCACCATTAAATACAAAAGATTATGCATCAACACTATCAATTCCCCTAACAACCTTAAACACTTCATTCAGATTTACTCTAATTCTTCTTTCAGATACCTTAAACTGTCCTTATGTGACAACCTTTCCATTCCAGGTATTATCCTATTAGCCATCTTCTGAACCATTTCCAACAGTTCAATGTCTTTCATGAGGTAAGAAACCCAAGGCTAAACATAATACTAATGGTGTATTGTACTTTACAAAACAATGGAAATGGTTATGCAGTGTAAAGGATATTTTTCAGTGAAGAAGATTGTAGTTACTGTAAACATTTAAGAGTAAAATGATAACTAGTAAAACTAATCAACAAAGATTTCAGTTTAAGATTCAAACATGAAATTATGATACAATCTTGAAATGATGATGTTGAGAACACTACTTCAAGATATTCAAGTAAAAGATAACAAAACAGGATTTTTGTTGTGAATGCATTAAATGTGAAATAGGAAGACCATCACATGAGACAAGTATCTTGCTACTTCTCACAGTATTATTAGGTTTTATTTAATCAGTACAAAAAACCTCAGCACAAAGCTGCCACAAGAAACTCAATTAACAAAACCAAGATTGTTCCAATAAGAAGCATTTTGTCATCTCCAGTTATTCTGATGGATTTTATTTTTGTGTATGTGTGTGTATTGTGTAGAATATGTCGAGTATCAAATAATTTGTTAACTCCTGGTGGCAACTGTTTCTAGAGAAACATTACGAAAACACTAAATTTTAGGAACATAATTTCACATTTACTACAAAACCTCAATAATTGAATATTTACAGTTAGAAACTTGTGTGCAAAAGCATTCAAATAACTTAATTATTACTTGAACACAAGTACATAACAGAGATTACAAATATTGCTCTACATGTTGTTCAGTATGTTTTAAGCCTAATGATCTATTATATGTAATTGATATATGTACTACCTTTTGTAGTTTCTAAATCAGTAAACTTTCAAACACTGGGAAGGTTCTTTCAATACTGGAAATTAATGTAAGATAGATATCCACTGCATGTCTGTTATCTAAATTTTGGCAGGGTAGGTGTCATCTTTAGTCAATTTTATTTCTCTAACAGGGTGGTTAGTCTTTGGAATGGGTTGCATTCAGATGTGGTGAATGTAGCAAATTTGATGTTGTTAAGTTATACAAACCACTGCTAAAACTCAAATTATTAAGATTCAATAGAAAGCTCTTTAGAAGAATTATATTTGCAGCAGGTACACATGTAAGATGTAAACTTAAGTATTAGTGGGTGGGTGTTTTTGCACCACTGTTAAGGTTTCAACAATGATATAATTATTGATGATTTTAAGATATTATGACAGAGACCTGTGTAACTTGATTAATGCAAAAAAAATCATATTTTTTTTAAATAGTAAAGTCTTTAATGATGAAAATATAACCTTTTAAACTGAAACAAATGAAATATATATAATACATGTACTACTTTTTCTATCCACTACACATTTTAAAGGTGTTAAGACACCATTTTCACAAAGCTAACATGCTGCAAGTATACACTATCAACTTCACATCTTACATTACTGAGCTTAAGTATTGCTTCTTGGCACTTGTGTATAATGTTAAGATAATGAATAACACACATTGTTAAAATGGGTACACTATTAAAAATTTATAATTATAGCCCTTCAAAAAAAGTCAACTCTACATATTTTGATGTTACAATGTTATCATCAAGAGTGAATTGTGCAACTACTTTTTTTTTAACAATGAATAATGGGATTGACTGTTACATTATAATACTCTCATAGCTGAAATATCAAACATTTTATACAAAGGTTTCGATCCCACACCTGAAGACTGGTGATGATAAGCTGTAACTAGGTTGTATATTAAAAAGTGATGGTGGCACAGGTAAATAGAATAATTATTTTAACCCTACTTAGAAAAGCACAGACACATCAGGATTTTGAGAGATTTTAACTGTAATAAAGTATTATGGAAAAACTGGTATACAAGTAAATCTGAAAACAGTGAAGAATTGAAATTCACTGAATGCGTAAGAGATAACTACATGTTTCAACACATAGAGCAACCAATAAGGCACTATTTCGGTCAGGAGCCAAGCATAGTTGACTAAACTTTTTCAACCAAGGAAAATATGATTTATAACATTAAGTACTATAGTCCTCTTGATAAAAGTGATCATTCTGAACTAGTGTGTGGTTTTATTTGTTATATGGACACTCTTCAAAAAGTAAAAAATAAAATGACATATTACTGTGACAGGGGTAGATATATAGAAATGAAAAAAAAAAGACAGATATTGATCAGAAGAAACTGTTTAATAGTTGTGATGAATATATAGACATAAAATGGAACAAATTTAAAATAAAAACTGCAATTGATAAAGTGTTCCTTGTAAACTGGTAGACACTAGTAAACCTATCTGGTCAAACAAAGGAAAGTTACCGATCAACGAAGTGATTAAAAAGGAAATTAAAGCTAAATAAAGGGTTTGGGAAAATACTTATATAAGATGAAAACAAGAAATAAAATTCAATTGAAAAAGAAATAAGGTCAGAGTCCTCATACAAAAATTACAGAGAGATAAGGAATGGGACATAGCCAAAGATGTTAACAGAAATCCAAAGAAATTTTGCAATATATGAAGTCAAAAACAGTGTGATTATCATTTTATCATAGACATGTCAGGGTAGGTATCAATGTAATATAACTAAGAACTAAGGAAAACCAAGTTGAGACAAAACATGTCTTGATTATTACAGACTATTACACTCTCTTGCTATGAGGTTGGTCCAATTAACCGACCTCATACTCATTTTATATTCATGCATTTTACAGTGTAACCATTAGCCCTTTGGATACTATAATCGGATTTAGCTGACTTAACATTTATAGCCATTTGGTGCAACAAGTGCATTTACTTCACGGTATCACAAAAATTTCCTCATAGTGCAACAATTGCGATACTCACGCGTCCTTGAATTTTCCACCTTAGCACCGCACGTACATACATCCCTGAGCAAAAGTGCAACTAATGGATTTGGATATTGAAAAAGAACTAAAAAATGTCAAATTTTAAATTTCATTTTTAGTGGATAATTGACACTTTTTGAGATCCCACCCAAAATCTAATATTGAAAGTCATGTAAGGATGATCTCTATATAGCTGTATTCTTGTTTGCATTATTTTTGGCATTGCAATCCCTATATAATTTTACATTTACAAAATGTTTTTTATTACTTGTTTTGTGAGATGATTGTGTGTGATGAAAATAAAGAGAGACTAATGAAAAAGAAAAGGCTGAAGTGACAACAAATTATTTCAAAACTGTGTTTGCTAATGAACCTAATGAATCTCCTAATATTGAACAAAGATATTATACTGAGTTAGGTAACATTAAACTAACTGACGATATTTTATTGTTGAAATTACATGAGCTGAATATATAAAACATTTGAGCCTTATATAATATATTTTTGAGTTTTGAAACAACTGAAAGAAATAATTAGCAAATCACTGGTGAATGGAAGAAGCTAGAATTTCTGCTACATTTAAAAACAACAGTGTTTTTGTCTATCAGCTTAATATATATATGTAAACTTCTTGAATCAAGTATAAACAAGTGTTTTTGTCCATCAGCTTAACATATATATGTAAACTTCTTGAATCAAGTAAAAAATAACAGTGTTTTTGTCCATTAGCTTAACATATATATGTAAACTTCTTGAATCGAGTAAAAACAAGTGTTTTTGTCTATCAGCTTAATATTTATATGTAAAATTCTTGAATCAAGTATAAACAACAGTGTTTTTGTCCATTAGCTTAACATATATATGTAAACTTCTTAAATCGAGTAAAAACAAGTGTTTTTGTCTATCAGCTTAATATTTATATGTAAAATTCTTGAATCAAGTAAAAATAGGTGTTTTTGTTCATTTTACAAGAATTAGTCAGTAAAAAGCAATTTGGAATCATTGATTGTTATTCTACAACTTTACAGTTATTCAAGTTATGGAAGAATGTTGTTAGATGACGGATAACGATGAATACAGCTTAGTAATTTACAAAGGCCTTTGACAAGGTACCACACTTGAAACAATTTAGTAAAGTGAAAAACTGTGGGATTGGTTACAGCATTCTTGTTTAATAGAAAACAATGAACATGTATGAATGATAAGTTGTCTAACTATATGGATGTATCTTGTGGAATTCCCCAAGAAAATGTGCTTGGTCCTGTTTTATGTTATTTAGATCGATGACTTCCTAGAAGTTATAACCCATTCAGATGTTTATTCAGTTGATGACAATACTATGATTTTCAAGAATATAAATAATATTAATGATTGTGATCAATTACAAGAATATCTGAATACACTGATAAAATGGTCAAATATTTGGTTATTAAAATTTCATTTCAAAAAATGTAAAATTTTAGTCCTTGGAAATTATTACATTGATAATCATGAACTAGCACATTAAAAAAGGAAAAGACCTTGGTGTTACTCTTCACTGAATTATCACTTGAATATCATATGCAATAAAACATTAATAAATTTAACTGTATAATGTCTCTTCTAAGGAGGGCTTTTATATAGATGGATGAAAAAATTTTCTTATACTGACAAAAAAAGAGCTTGAAAGACCTAACTTGAAGTATGCTAATCATGTTTGGTGTCCTCATAAGGTAAGTGATATAGAGACTCTTGAAAATGTTAAACAAAGGGCTACTGGGCTTGTACCATCACTAATTAATTCAAGTTATGAAGACAGGTTAATGTATGTGACAGAAGTAGCTCTGGACTTTGACACAGCAATCACCAAAAACAATAAACGATGCCATAGCAAGAAACTATACATGAAGCAAACAAACAAGAACATAGGAAAATACTTTTTTCTTTTTAATACACAATAATTCAAACATGGAATTCACTCACAGAAGAAATAGTATCAACACCTAGTATCTTAGCATTTGAAACAGATTGTATATTCAGCAGAAGCACGAACCACTCATGTACGACTACTTAACTGTTCTACCAAGCAGCCACATATGATGGTTGTGGCCCAATGTAGACACTTGAGCCTGCATGTGAGGATCACCTAAGTAACACATTGCATGCAGACAATAAACCATTTCAATGAACATCCATGGTATAGGTTTCATGCTGAGGATCTGTAAGATTCCTTTTATAGGTCTACTTTAGTATTTAACTACAAATCAATGTGTAATCTGTAATTATCTAAGTTAAAATGTACAATTTCCAAAAATATTCATATACTAAATCTGAATTGATTTTTTAAATTCCCAGTGGGATTAGTAGTAGTGCTGGTATCAGCGATGATCACATTCATACTGAACAGGGGAATAAATGAAATGCATCAACAATGAACAAATTATAATTGAAGCATTTTAAATTCCAAATCTTAACTTGGTTTCTGTATAGGCCTAGTATCACTAGTTCTTATAAATTTTAAAATTGAACTTGAAGAGAAAAAATTTTACATAATCCTCCTTAGTAATCTGTTGTCAACATACTATGACAAAATAAAGTATAAGGTTATTTTTAAACTTTTAAACATAAGTAGCATAATTATGTAAATTATGTAATTATGCTCAAAACAATATACTATTAATTAACAATACAACCTCAAAAGTAATAAATAATAACATACTGTTTATATACATATATATATGCATACCATCTTCAGAAAATTCCTACAATAAACACAAAACTGATTTCAAATAATTACATGAATGTTAAATAAAAGTTTATATGCTATCATAAACATTTGTAAGTACAATTTTCAGACTCACAGTCAAACTAATAAGCAAAATCTCCTCAACTGACATTAAAGTTTTAACTATAGGCCACTTAGACTTGGAATTTATCAAAGGGTTCTACTTATTAAACATATTCTCCCTAAGCTTGGATAATAGCTTCTGTTGAGCTAAGCTCATTTTATTCTTTCTCACTAGTTATATAGATATTTCAACTAATTCATTTGTCATGGATCTTAACATTATTCTTCATATTATAATCTCAGTATATCAGCTTTTATTTAACATTCAGGTGATAATTTGTAGTTGTGGTCTTGTGTTATTTAAGAATTCTCTTAAGATAGAATGTGTGTATATTTTGAAAAATTCAAGAAAATTGTTATTTGTTACTTTTGTAGTTGTACTATTCATCATTACACTGTTTTCTGCCTCTTGAACCTTTTTCCAATAGACTTAAGAAATTATGCTGTGCTAAGTCAAAAAAGTGTAAGATTATAAAGGCATATGACTTTATTAGACATAATAAAAGTTTGATGATAAATAAAAGTGGCAACACTCATGAGACAGCTACAGGCATTTAATATTAACATGTTTCAAGTTATACATATTCCATCTTCAGAAAGCTATATTAAACAAAGTCAAATAAGATACAAAGATTTCTAGGTTTATAAGGTGAGGAACTGAAACATGTTTTCAGGACAGGTGTACAGCACAACGTAATGCAGTTTCCAAGTGCCTGGCTGATAGTTAATTTATAAGCAGTGGCTAGATACCTGACAGTTTGGAATATTTTCAAATACTAAATTATAAATGCCTGGCAGTCCAAATATTTCAATATTGATGAGCTACAACAACAACAATAATAACTTCAAATATATATATATATATATAATGATTGTGAAATTATGTACTACTTGGTATCTAGTAGTAGTAGTATTTCGAAGATTGATGTAGGCAACTTGCAAGTTGTAGCAAGCATACATGCTGATGGACACTACAAAACTCGTCAGAAGGATAATAATCAATATTTATTTTTTTCATGTCCTTCAATCGTGCTTGAAGTTGAGCTTCAAGACAAATCAGTCTCATAATTTACTATTAGTATTACTCATTCTCTAACTGAGTCTCTAAGTCAAGCGAGAGGTGATCGTAGCTCATCAATAGTTAAATTTTGGGCTGTTGGGTATTTAGTATTTGAAACTGACAGATCGTTCCCGGGTATCTAGGTGCTGTGTAATTTATGTAGAACTTACTACTTAAATCAAGCCATAACGTTGGGCCTACCTGCATGAATGCTACTTCTAACATGGGTGTCAGACCTAAACTCGTATGAAAAAGAGGTATAGAGTCAACAATATTTATTACTAGTTGCCCTCTTTCGTGAGTTTTCTTTTCTTCTGCTATGAATATACCGTTTACCGCACTGTGCGGATATTTCATCATGTGTAACAACATCTTACAGTACGCCCTGACACTAATAACGATTTCAACCATCTTGAGTTTACCTACGTAACCGGAAAAACGCGTATATTGACATTTGAAATACTACACTGTCGAAATAATAGTCATTGTATAAAAATTTAAACCTGTGGTCAAAAACTATGTTGTTTTTCTCATAGCCTTGCACGCTACCTCTTCCACCGATTACTGCTACACCATAAAAAAAAACAGCACCGCTGCTGTTGTCTATACATATTTATAAATCTAACGGCGCTCTCGCTACCGCTACTTTTTAAACTGACATTTTACATTGTAATTTTTTTCAGTGGATAATGTAAGAATGCAAAACGCGCATTTATTGGTAAATGGTAATACTTACTGCTACAGTAACATAATACAGACTTTTCAGAACAGTCTATTCATATTTGTGAAAGTAGCTAACAACAATACAGATTTCAATACATTCGATGATAGCACAAAACAGAACGTCAAAAATTAAATGAATATAATGATAGTGATAATAAAAATATCCAAACTAGTATGAAATAATAAACATCTAACATTAGAAGATATTACTGCTTTATTATTTGTTCAATTTTATTATTGTTTTAATTTCAGTAGCATCAGCTTTTCGAAATTGTTATCCGTCAATTCAGCTCTTCTCTTTGTGGCTTCAAAATGTATTTCCCTGTTGAGAAAATGCCCTCTACAATTTCATTCGATCAAATGAGGGTATTGTTACGTATCTGCTTATTTGTTTGTTTCCGGTAAAAATTATTTCTGAGGATCTTCAGCGATACAAGTCCCCTCTTGATTAAACCAGTTTATTCTTCCTCGATACAAACTTTTAGTACACAGTAGTTCCACAATAGTACGTTT